TCGAATTGAATTACTCAACAGTCAAACGATCAGTTATAGAGTGTATTTTATAGAATGAGAATCTGACTTTGATTGTTGAATGAAATGAATGAGAAATTACCAAAAAGAGAACACTTTTGGTGATAAAAGCTATGAGAGCGATTGTAACAGCAAGGAAAAGAATGAAAATCCTGTTAGAACGAACGAAAACCCTTTCTGTTAGGGCCAAACGAGCTAATAACACTCAGACAATAGGAAAATGAAGAGTTTACCCAAGTTAAAAAACACTTTCACAATGGCGTTCAATCAAATTATAACAGTTGCACGAAATACTAACTTCCCCACCCTCTTCGTTACCCCTTGACTCTAAATTACCCAAAATGGGTAATTTCACCCCTACGAGAACCACCGCTCTATAAGCATCTTTTACGTACTTCTAACTTTTAAGATTCATTAACTTCGACGATCAAGCCGAACTGATAAAGTGAAGCAAACAAACCTAGTGGAATTAGAAGGCATTGATGAACCAAATGAACTTACATCAAAATGATCTATCGGATGAACATCGATACCTCACAATTGATATCATATTGCCTCACATATCAACGAAAAATGTCAGATTCGTGAGCAATATTGCGATGATGAGGATAATCATTGAACGACAGATATCCCAAGAAGAAATCATCAGCAAAGAATAAAATATGATATTTCATAGCTCAGCTGCCACAAATTGACAGCAGCAGCATGTAATACAATCCTGCTTTGTCTAAAGTCATATGTTCAAACCATCCCAACCTGCCCTTTCAACGCCTACCGATATCATACCAGAAAGACGTCAATTCACTCTCATTCCTACATCATCCATACAAATGATTTGCTTTCATTCAATGAACTCTACCGTTCGTTGGCTCAATGTCTCAAACAACATAATGATGGTTTTATCGAATTAATTTCAAAGGTGTTATTTTTATTGGGTAATGAAGAGACTCGATGGGTTCAGACACTTTTATGATCCATTTCAAATAATAACAATAACAACAAAAACATTTGAACACACCATTAAAAAACCACAACATCTTACGTCAGACACTGCATCAGTTCATTACAATGAACATTATTTATAATGACACAAAAACAATTTAATCCATTCCGAACGCCAATAATGAAAATTATTACTATTTGAATCATAACAACGTAACAACAAATAAATACATACAATCAGATAACTACATGTCATCGGTAAGAGTGAATACGTCAAGTTCAGATGCTTGGAATGCTTTAGACTTTTTTTTCAAAAAATCCTTTACATTTAGCATTTCAACTATGAAATTCACATCTTTAAACAACGTGCTGTACAAGATTAATGAATCTTACAATGATTCATATATTATAAACTTCGACGAAACGCTGTCACTATAAGAACAAGAATGAATCGTTAAGATCCCCAAACAATGCAGCACCACTGCTCAACTGTGACTGATCAGTGCGGATGCTTAATTTCTTGGTGTGATTCACAAATTCTATTCTCTTCACCGACTGAATATTCCGACAGCTACAATGAGATCTAACAGAAAGGTTGGTTTAATGTGGCTGTGTTGCTCTTCGAAGCCAGCCTAAATCTTTACAACAATGACAAATCGGCATATGACAGACAAACAAGCATCGCCATTATCAAATCTAATCAAACGTTCGCTTTATTCGCCTTCCACCAAGCCTTCACCTTATCGTGTCCATCCTCTGTTACCACCACTAAACGTTGCACATCGTCGAACCACAACAATATATCTGCAAACGTTCACAGTACACATCCTCAAACCAATTGCTCGCTAATTCAGAAAGAAAGCGATCAAATTTCCATCGCTTCCAATTGATATCCACTGAAGTATTCGTAGATAATTTGTGTTTCAGTAACCTATATATGATGAACCTAAATATGTATGATTCATGTACATTCAATGAATTAAAGGAAATCACCTTGCGATCTTGCATATTCTTTCACACCGACATACTCTCGCTCGCTTTCGAATGTCGAGTAGAGAGCAGAATCGGAGAAGACCAATCGATGTCGTTCATCCTCCCACAAGCGAATCTGATCTGCCACTGTCACTGGCACACACTGGATGGTGCCTGAAGATGTGGCAGCTGCAGAGACCGTTTCTGGATGTGCGTTAGCACGCAGAAATGCGATTATTTGCGAGGCTGTTATACCCACCTGAAACTGCTCTACTGCGTGCTGATCATCTTCATATGATGCCACTAACAAAGCCTACTTCATCATCGAAAACCAACTTAAAACTGCACTGAACAAGAATATACTATAATATTTCAATCGCATTCAATTCTTACTGATCATCTTATTGGTCTTCCAAATCAAATGTGAAGTTTAATGAAACCACATCACATCTCAGAAAACCATAACCAAACATATTTGCAATGAAATTTGTATATCAAGTGAAAAATGTTCAAATTTCATGAAGACTGAATAAGGACAGTGGTGGGTTAAATGAATCAATCAATCGATCACCTGTAACGCTCTTCGCACAGATTCTCTCGTCAACAAACCCACCGACATATCGCTAAACCTTAAATGCAAAACTGCATGAATAGTGACACAATACCAAACTTTTTACAATTAATAACTCCAATAGAAATCAGTTTTCAATTGAAAAGACAAGAACACATAGAGCAATAGATCACTGAACTGAAAGAGCAAGTAAGTGTCCTGCAAAGGGCACAAGCAAATTCTACAAAAGCGAATCACCCTCCACTCACCTGTACATCATCTCAGTGAACGTTGATAGAATCGCAAGTTGCAAACTCGAATCTGTGTACGCATAAACTCGATAATTCGTTTCAACAATAATATATCCCATATGAGAACGTTTTTCGGCCACGGACACTTCAGTTGTGGACGCACACGACATTGTAAGATGCGCAAAAAGTGGCGTGATAAAAAAATACCTGAACGTATCGACAGAAGCTTCATATGTGCACATACAGATTANCCATAACGATGCAAGAAGCATTCAATCAGTCTCAAATGTGCTGTCAAAAATGAGCGATTTCTAGGGATTTTCCTGATTGTGAGATGCACCAATCATGTGCACTTACCCGTCTTTCCGTTTCCGAATGAAAATAAGTCCCAACTCTCGCAAATGCATCAAAAAGCCAGTGATAGTCTCCGACCAAGTGTCATCAATGAAGAACGCTCTTGCTGTTGATTTATTCTCTCGATCAGCACCGCTATCATGCGATCGTGATCGAACGTTATTGCTTGTATGCGTGTTATGATCAACGCATAATGTTAATCTAAAATTCCTTTCAAAACGTCAATCTGAATATTCTCCTTTTTCGAGCATTCTGACAATGAGTGCGATGCACAACAGATAATTGCTTTAGAGCTGAAATCGAAGTGGTAATTAGTAAAAACTGAAAGCGTTCATTGATAGCGATCGCTGTTGCCGAACCTTACATCCAACGTCTCTGCATCAAATGATAATCACACTTTCGAGCGATGTTCAGACGCGATACTGTTAAGAAAATTTTGAGAAAGCACGTCGTCATTGTACTGANTACTCAGTAATTGTTCAAAGAGTGCATGTAGTAACCTTAACAAGAAATCCAATTCAGCCATAACATTTTTGCCCTGTGATTCTTCCATTCGTAAAAAATGCAGTATGTACATCCAAATTTGTTGTGTTTGACTGAACAATAAGAATTGAAAACCAGCCGAAGTTATTTCAATATCGTTATCGCCTGTAAGTGGCTGGTTATCTTTGAAACTCAAATTAACGAATATGAGTCGAACATATCCACAAATCCATTTGGTCATGATTGATGAATTCAAGAGATAAGATTAGCAATGCGAACAATCTATTGGACGAATCAGATGAATTTCGAATCATCTTGTTATCTTGTTCAGAGCCAAATCAAAATGTCAGTCAACTGAAGCATGAATGACTGACCATCAGCACCACTCGTCAGTCCCGCTGCTTTGAAGAGTTGTTTAGTGGAACCGCTCACGCCTTGCTCACTTTTCTGCGATGGCAGCGCCAAATAATGCAATATGCATTCCCAGCGTTCGATTGCTTTCTTACCCAAATCTTTATTGGCCGATTTTCGACTCTTTTCATCCAGTTCAGCCATTGCTTTCAACCTCGATGCCTCATATTTACCAACGCGAATCGCGTGAATGTACGAATTACGGAATTTTGTCTGAAGCAATTTTTCTTTTTTGTTCGTTCAATAGATGATGACAACTCAACTCATCATCACTATTGCTTTGTGATGAACGGAGATAGGGAAGGGAGGAATAAAGAAACGAAAACATAATTATCATGACGGAACGGAACAAGATGAGATTTGCATGAAAAGTTGTTAGCAACATGAAATTCAGAAGAAACTGAAACATGAAAAAGAAACGCGATCTCTCCGAAAGCAGCAAAGATAAATATTTAATCACATACATTCAATTTGAGCTGTTCAGTGCTATCGATAATTCGCAACTTTCGCAACAAGCCAATATGAGTTTCGACTGTTGAAAGTTGCTCTTTCTTCAGTATTGAACGCCATAAACTGAACACGAATAGTGGATCAACAATGAGATTAAACAATGAGACATAATGAGATTAAACGAATCGAAACAAATGGGCGATTGAACCGCATTCTGTACGAGCGGAAAGGCGTTCTCAAAATCAAAATCTCGAATATAATGGTGAAAGGCGATGACAACAATCGCACCTCAGTTGAAGATCACCACTGATCCAGAGCAGTTTCAGCACGCATTGTTGTGAAATGTCAGGTAGTGCACAAAAAACTGCAAACACTGCACCAGGCGATTCGTAGAGTTCACTCAACTGCTCGGCAGTACGTTTCACTAAATAGCCGAGCAACGGGCGATCATTTAGGTTCATTTCCTTGACTTCTATCGACCCTTCAAACTGATCACCTCGTTACTGAATGCACATTGTAAGGGTCCCAGTGTAAGTGAGAATTATCTAAGCAAGATGAAAAATACGGAGAGGAGGGCAATTATCGGAAATTTTTCATTTAATCGACAGTCAGTTCACTTAACAAACTCTTGTTCAAATAGCTTTCGTGAGTATGAACTTGTATAATGTAGATTCAAACTTTCTCAGAACTTCTATCCATACAGAGGCCATGAGGCAGTAGCTGAATATGCTGTGCTACAAGAGAATTTATTTCATTTTTAAAATTCCTTGGCAACAATTTTAATTTTAAAAGCAATTCGGGCTATTACGCACCGATCGACATCGTCTCATCTCATCTCATTCAGAAACTTTATTCTCTCATTGCCCGATGAATCTCGAATGGTCAATACTAACATGTAACAAGACGTTAGAACGCCAATATCATGAATGCTTGTTGCACTACTATGCAATGTTCTGCAGTAATTTATCTATCAGTTTTATTCGAATTTATTTGCATATTTCATTTATTTGTTCCAATCGATTCACAATCAAAATACACATATTTATGAATGACACCAAGGAATAACCATNATCCGTAGAAATGAACATTGGAAATTTTGAAGTATCGAAAAAAGAAGAGAAAACAGTAAATCCTACTAAAGTATTCCTAACTTAATTAGTTTCATCACATTTTGACGTAACAACAAGTAATCAAATGATCGATACGGTTCTTCGATAAACTTTCTTAACCGTCATTAGTTCATAAATATGCCTCATTATATGACTACTACATTGAATCATTACTAATCCATACTCAGTTGTCGGACTTTTGCTAACTACCTCATGAATTTAAGCACTTTTCACTGTTGTCGAAACAAACCAAACCCAGGACATCCGAAAGAAAATTGCTCTCATCCGCAAAGATTTACACGATTCATTCAATTTTGCAACAACAACAAAATAATTCGAGAAAAATGCGAAACTGAAATTGACACAACCACTTATTACAGTGACTAAAATAGTTACCAAATGAATAATCAAATCAAATTACATCAAGAAATGATTGCTCAGCAGAAGAACCCGAATAAACAAATACAATCGCGAACTGTTCGTTTCAAATTAGAATTACTAAAATATCTACGAAAATAACAACAAAAGAATAATAATAATAATGATACAGCTGTAAACGAATGTCGATAAAATCATTCGAATAGGATCAGCAAATTGAGAATCATCATGCTAAATGGAACAACAAAGACAACAACAAATATCATCAAGCAATAATTACAANTTTGTTTCAAAACTTGTATTCCCCCGACGTTTTACTCATCAAAAAAGACGATCGCTTAAATATTCATTTTCATTTCATGACAGTTCCATTATTCTACATGCATCCAAACTTTTGGGTAGCGAGAAAAAAATTTCTTTTTCAAAATACTTGCGGGCAGTTCCGCTTTTTCGTGCTATGAGGAGGAGCAGTTCTTCCGCAGAACATCCCAGCTACTACTGATTAACAGCGCAATATCACGAGCAATTATCCAAAATTCTGATGGTGAGCAAAAAACGAAAAAGAAAGAATAAAAATGCAGAAAAACCGCAAAAATCGCTCAACAAAAAATACAGATGATTTTTCAAATTGCATTCATTCAAGTTTCACGCAACGAATCAAGACAAAACTGATCAAAACAAACGAACAGAAATGATCATTATCAAATGATCAATTTTGCATGTATAAAGAGGAAGCAAACCGGAAGCATTGCATTTCATAAATCCAATATGACAAAATTTTCAACGCAATCAATAATCAAAAATTCTTTAAGATCCTTCCTTTCCCCATAATTTTCTTCTCGGAACTCCTTCATATCACAAACAATCCCCTACTCCACTACTCACGAAACTGGTGATTCGCATGTGGCACTAATATTAGAGTCTTGTGCTGAACCACTTGTGCTGGATTGCGCCACAGTATTGGTTATTGTTGTTGCAGTCATGAAATTGCTGCTACTACTGCTGTTGGTCGCACTTTCAGGTGGTGGTTGTAACGCGACGAGAATGGCTTGATAAAGGGACACCGCCTCACGAACATGATTGAATTTCAACACAAAACTTTGCAGTTCAACTGCTAACGGCTGAAATTTATTGACATCGTCGAATAATAATTCTCATACGTTTACATTCCTTTTTTTCCGTCAGCTACAAAAGACCCACCAATCGAATTCCAACAATGATACAGCATATTCATAAGCATTTTAAAATGAGCATTTCAATTCGTTTGCAAAACTCACTCAACTATTTCAACGCTGGTAATAATCATCAACATTCGAATACCGCATGGGAACTCGATGATCATATCCGTAACATTAATATAGTGCAGAAAATAATAATCATAAATAATCAAAATAATGATAAGTTAAATCAAATAACAATAATCAATAAGTCAATAATAATAACAAATAAAGAAAAACAAATTAAAAATAATAATCAAAAACAATAATCATAATAATCGTTAACACTGGATAATGCTGTTAATTAATCATAAAACGATATATAAAACTCACATGAACATCCCAATTGCTGTTGCGAATCAACGACGACAAAAACACACAAACCATGCGCACCTGACGGCATTGCAACGAAGACTGCTTCTGGTCTTGACACCTCGACACACACATCATTATATACGAGTTCAAATACTCTTGCGGGAACTTACTTTGCTAAAAACTTCATAAATGCGTTCACTTTCTTGTTTCATTTTGCATCATTTCATATCAACAAATTTAAAATATCGATACCAGGCTCAACTTCTCCGACCAAATAAAATGCCAAGCAAGTGAATACACGAAAGAGCAAGCAATCAATGCAAAATTAATAAATAAGAGTGCGTTGTACCGAGCACAGTTTGTTGACGACCTCCATTCCTTGCACCGATAGATTCATACTCAACAGCAGATCGAAAAACCTTCAAAACAATCATCTTTTCAGCACTTCATCTAATGCATTTCTTACAACAAATGGAAACGTCCCGTCATTAATTAAGTACTCATCTTTCTTATCATCAATAATTCTTGATACTGTTCAATAATGCCCTAGCTCCCTGCCCACCTCTACACAAATATAACATCTTAAATACTAACTGACGGCTCAGCTTGAAGATTGTATGAATTCAAAAGGCTAAAATCAGGGATCCAATTAGTCAAACTGCAACAAGCAACCAATCAATAAACAAACGAATCGACAACTTCATAAAATAATTCCTAAATTACTCACGCTTCAAGTTCTCCGGCATTCTTGTTCACTCGTCTCACAATAACAGCTGCAGCCACTGCTGGATTTTCATCGATGAATTTGGGATACTGAAAAAATAATAATAATAATAAATTCTGCAATCTAAGAATTGACCTGAAGAGCTCATTTCTGAAGAAATCCATCGATGAATCCGCGCGGAATGCATAAAATTCATGCCGCAATCAAGACTGACCTGTGTGATTGGTATATTGACTAGATCCGCAACACTGCCATCGGCTGCGATCGCTTCAGATAAGCGTTGTGCCTCGATTCTTCCCAATACTGACACGAGTGACTTCTTCACCAACTCCACTGCTTCAGCGTGCGTTAACGGTGGCCTTTTGTCTTTTTCTTTCTCACTGCACACGCTCGATACCATTGAAGTGTTGGACGACTGCAATATTCAACTCAACAATCCATCCATACAAAACTCATTTGCAATTAGCAAAACGATCATGCATCCAAACTGCTTAAGAGAACCGCAGAATGNAAATAAATCCAAATAAATGAAAACGAATAAATAAATAAAAATAACTAAATGAAATAAATAAATAAATCTATACACTTTTTATAAATAAAAATAAATGAATAAAAATATTTTTATAAAAAAATAAATGAAAATAAATCTATACACCTCAAAAATAGATTTCATCTATTCTCGTACATAATGTATCGAGCAACAGTAATAATCCCTCCCCTCCCGTATACATAATGTAATCATCATCACCATCCTACCTCTACCGTTAGAATATTCTCGTCGGTCGCACATGTTTTAGCCGTGTCCACACTGCTACTTCGTTGATAAGGCAGTGAACTGAGTGAGACGGTACGTGATGAACGATGATAAGCAGGCGATACGGTGTTCGATGCTTCATCAGTGTCTTCGGTGCCGATCAATGTTTTTGGTGAGGATGGCAACGAGTTACCCCACTGAAACAATCGTTAATGTTTCATCAGACATGACACTTCAGACAAACTAACAAACTTTTTTGCGTGGATCCGATAGATTTTTGATTGCTTTTGGCGCTGTTTGATGACAAGGTTGTAGTGTCTGCGACGAGTGGTCGTTGGTTTTAGATGCGCTGCTCTCATCATCCGACACTTTGCTTTTGTCCGATGACTTCAGTGACTGAGATGATGCTGACGATTTCAGTTTTTTTCCATCACTAATAATAATTGCTTGGTCGACGTTTTGCTCGGCGTTACGATCCGCATTCGCATCCGCTAAACTCGGCACATTTGCGTCTGGTTTCAACGTCTCGGCATCCATCCACAATGGCTCCAACAGGAACGGATAAAGGAATTGAAACTGAAATGTGCGCACCAATCGACACGAATGCATTGATTCATATATAACGATAACAGAATCATACCTCATCGTCAGATGGCGGCATCAGAGTGGGTGTCACACGGTGAAATGCTGGTGGCAACAAGTCAGTCATAAACGGATTACACGCTATACTCAACAACGATTTCTTGAATGCCATTTCGTCATTGTACTCTCTGCAAAATATATATCTCTTCGTCAGTGCATGACCCAAATTTTAATGTTATCAATCAATCCTAAACAACCAACAGTGACCTACTTCGTAAAAAGAAGAAAAAGAACAAGTGCAGAAGATTTTCGGTCAAGAAAGTTGCAAAAACGAACGAACCTTGTTGCATCTGGCAGTTTGATGAGAGCTGGTATGGATGCATTCACCAATGCCGAATAGTTGGCTTGACGTTGTTTCAGTGCTGCTTTATAACGATCCAACTCGACCATTTTCATACAAAAATCTTCAGATTCCTTAAGAGAACACATACACACAACCACTAACAGTTCAAATTTGAACATTTGCCATCTTCAGATGAACACTTTCAAATGGATCGAATTCGCACAGTCAAGTAGATGGAATTAGGTTTTCGTTCCTTAATTCATTCTTTAATGCTTATAGTCGAGTTCTGAGTTGCAGTAAATAAAAATCAGACTGATCACAAGATCACCGAAAGGAACTGAATCAAACTTATATAAAAAGAGAAAGAATATCAACAATCAACATCCTACCTCATCAACTTTATGATAAACAATCTGAATCAAGTCGTTCACATTCCTCGACGCCACACTGTTGTGTTCACCATTCAGTAGACAACCCAACAAGTAACGCTCATAAAGATTTGCTTTCGAATGCGCTTCAAAGAGATCATTCGCAAGATCCATGGAACGAGTCTCTTTTTCACAATCCTCAAAGTGCAATCGATCAGCTCATCGCTATGTCATTCGACTCACTGCTCTCTGTTACATGCAAAGTGAAGATGGATGTACTTGCTTAAAGCAGATAACTCGTGTAATGAATTTGTTATCAACAATCTCATCATACCAGTAAAGAAACGAAGAAGACCAGGAACGGATGCCATAGAATATCGTCGATTTGGTCTTCAACTGTTTGTTTATGTCTGTCCAACGCTATATCCAAATCTTCCACTCTTTAAAGACAAGTTCATTTTGAAGAAACTTGTACAAGTTATCAGAACAATCGTAATGAATGTCATTAATAAAATTACAATAACACACATTACTGCCATTATTGCCATTATTTCAAACTATTTCGATAAAACGTAATTTTGATACGGAATAAATGGAATTTGAGCGGGTCAAAGGATCATATAAAGAGATGAAAAATGAATAAGACCTGTATAAGAGATAGAGCAGGATGAGACGTTGAGGTACTTTAGTTTTAGCGTCGTGTTCTTTGAATATGTGCATTAAGGCAGTTCCAACAGCCAACGAGCTACGCCGAGTGGAGAATGCCTTCAACACAAAGATCTATTAAGTTGAACCAAAGCACTCATCTGGGACGGATGATTACAAGTAAAACTCATCATCGGATACCATCTCAAAAAGCGAATTTTTTCGGTCTGAACTGCATCACATCAACTCATTCAGTTTAAATTGAGAATACCGTAACAAGGAATGAAAAGGGAAGCTCTTGGAGTCGAATCAACCTTCCTGCATGACCAAGAAGGAAGATTAATCGAAAAGTACACTAGATCAGGCTAGATCCGGATGCAATTCATTAAGAAACTCACACTGACAAACACATCTCCCAGATATTCGAACGTTTGAGTAAAACAGTTGCAGAGCCTGAAAAGCACTTGGCTTTGAAATTCGAAAGATTTCGCATATTTTCGACAAAATGCATGTGCCTGCATAGGAATCAAGACAGAAATCATCAACAAACTCAAAGATTACAGGACTTTGCACAGTGAAATTCGGTTGCTCATTGAATTGAGGATTCGAATCTGACGATAATACAATAGACAATATTGGGTTTAATTGACTGTAAGCGGACTCAGCTTTTGTAAACGTGCTGAAATTCCGCATTTTAAAACTATTGAAAAGATCGAAAAGAAGACAAACTTATGAATGGCGCAAAAATCATCTGATGTCAGTACGGATCGAGCCGATGATGATACAGCCATATATAGGGAAAGTAACCAAATGTTCCTCAAATCGTTACCTTCAAATTTTTACAAATATACTCCAAGAATGCACATACAGAAAACGTATTCAAACGCATGAATCACAATGCATACAACACACACTAGCGTATTTCGTCTCATAACGCAAGGCTGAGGTACAACCACCTCAAACTAAAGAGACTGAATCTTAGAAAAGAACTGACATCAACCTAAAATGCAACGAAACACCCCTGCAAATTCAGTTTCATGCCTCTGGCTAAACGTTTCTGAAGTGTGCAGCACACGATAGGGGGTAGTGACACTTCGCCAAGTACGAACGGACTGACAGTTCTCCAAGTGACGGAAGTGGGATTTTCATTTGATATGTGTTCAGAAATGTG